ATATGGTAATTAATTTTTTAATATTGCCTTCCCTGGATACACTCCATTTTGTCATAGTGTATTGCTCTTTTTATATATTGCTGGATTTGACTTGTTAATATTTTACTCAGAATATTTTTCCCTTCTATGTCAATGAGAGATTTTGGTCAGTCACTCTCTTTTTACTGTCATTGTCTGGTTTTGATATCAGGTCAATGCTGGCCTCATAATATAATTTGAAAAATATTCCTTCCTCTTCTATTTTATGGAAGAAATTGTGTAAAATTGGTGTTTTTTGCTATTTTAAAGGGTTTGATAAAATTTGCTGTGAAACTATTTGGGCCTGAAAAATTCTTTGGGGGAAGATTTTTCACTGGAAACTCAATCTCGTTGATAGGTATAGAAGAATTTAGGCTATCTATTCCATCTTTAATTAGTATTAGTAGTTTTTGGTTTTCATGGAATTAGTTTCTTTCATTAAGTTGTCAAATTTATGTGTATAGGTTTGTTCACAGTATTCCACGATTATTATCCTTTTATGCAGGGTCTGTAGTGATATCCTCTTTTATTCTAGATATTGGTATTTTGAGTCTTTTTCTGGTAAATCTTACAAGAGGCTTGTCATTTTATTTTTTTTCTAAAGAACCAATTTTATGTTTCACTGTTTTTTTCTATTGTTTTCAAAATTCATTGATTTCTGCTTTTATCTTTATTTCCTTCCTTCTGCTTACTTTGGATTTTGTTCTAGTTTTTCTGGTTTCTTAAGATGGAAACTTAGGTTATTGATTTGAGACCTCTTTACCTAGCTATTTTTAGTGCTATAAATTTCCCTCTAATTACTGCTTTAGCTGCATCCCACACATTTTATTATGTTGTATTTTCATTCTTGATTATTTCAAAATGTTTCTAATTTTCACGAGACTTTGATTTACAAATTTAGAAGTATTATATAATTTTAAAGTGTTTGAAATTTGTGTTATATTCGTTATTGATTTCCAGTTTATTACATGATATGAGAAGACATATTTGGTATAATTTCAATCCTTTTAAATTTGTTAAATCTTGTTGTATAACTCAGGATATGGTAATTGGTCCATATGCACTTGAAAAGAATGTGCTGTTGTTGGGTGTAGTGTTCTAATTTGATAATTTGATAATTATGTTCAGATCCTCTAAACACTTGCTGATATTCTATCTACTAGTTTTATCTATTACCAAAAGAAGAGCATTGAAGTATCAAACTACAATTATGGATGTGTCTATTTCTCTTTTCAAAAGAAAGAAGTCAGGGTTTGAAGCTCTGCTGCTAGATGCATACATATTTAGGACTATTATGTCATCTTGATGAATTGATCCTTTTGTAAATATGTAATGTTTCTTTGATTTTTGGGTAATTTTCTTTGCTCTAAAGTATATTTTGTCTGATATTAAATACTACTGCAGCAATCTTTTGACTATTGTTTGCATGGTACGTCTTTTATCATCCTTTTTCTTTTAATCTACTCATATCATTATATTTGAAGTTTCTTGTAGACAGCAAACACTTAGGTCAAGTATTTTTTTAAAAATCCATTTTCACGATCTGTCCTTTTTTAATCCTGGGCTTTCTTTATAGATTATTTGAATTTTTTCATATTGTATCTTAGTTTATCCATGATAATTTTGACTATATTTCTTTCCATTTTCTTCATTTGATGAGTAATTTTTGATTGCATTGACTGGATAAGATTAGACTAGATTTTGAATATTATATTTTAAGTTTGTTTAAATTCTATGGTGAATGTTGATATTTTTGCTTTAGCAGGTAATACACCTGGTTAGGTTCAAGCTGCAAGCTGCAACCCACTTCTATGAGCTGTGCTACACTATCAGTTCAGTTATCTGTGTCTCTGCTATACTAATCTGATCTGAAACACATGTGTACCACTCAGGGGGCAGTTTGGAACCTGGGCAGGAGTCTATCTACCAGTTCGGTTCTGTAAGTTTTCTATATGCTAATTAGGGTCAGATCCATGCATCACAGGTTGGGAGTTCAAAAATAACTTTATGGGGTTGCTTCCCCAAGTTCCTCCTTTCTGTGATCTTGCTATACATCCTGGTTCCCTGGGACTCCCCTTATATAACCTCTGGAGAAACCATCGCTTCCACAATTGTGAGAAGCCGGGCTAAGTGGCAGGAAGACAAAAAAAGAAAAAAAGTAATGAGTTTGGTTCTGAATATTTTTGAGCTCCAGCTCCACTCAATGGAGAGGAAGTCTCTCTCTTCTCATGGTTTTCGATCCTGTTACCCTCTGCTGCCCCTCAGAACTGTCTGTGGGCTAAGTCAAAAGAGAAGGGAGAAAAATGAAAAACAAGAAGAATCTGCCTCCCTTTTCTCTGAGCTTTAAGAGTTCTCTTTCCTCCTTTGCAAGCTGAAATTAGAGGTATTTCATGAAGCTTCTCTGTCTGCACCTAGTGCTCACTCCCAGTATTCATGTTGCTATGAGCTAAGGCCAGGAGACAGCCAAGGGAAAACCAGCTCAATGGTACTTGAAATTCTTTGTGCTTCACCATCCTCCTGCTACTTATTTCCCGAGTTCTCAAAGAACTATGCCCTGCATCAATTGGCCAAGGTGTTTATTAGACTGAGTTGAGTAAAGGGGTGATGAGGTGTGCATATACCATATTACCAGAACCAAGACTCCTTATCTGTTTATTTTTTACTATGTGCCAAATACTGTGTTCACAAAATTGTTTGTACAAGTAATGTGGGGGTCTAGAATGGCACCACCTTCCTACAAAAAGAAACTGTGCACTTCCACCTTAGTATATGGCACTCCAAGATTCCCTTGCTGAGGGCACCATGCTCTGAGGTAGCTTCTTTCTCTGCCTGGCCTACGTCAAGGTATCCCTTCCTTCTGCAACATAACACTCCAGCAGGGCCAGCCTCCTGGCCTGGGGCTCTGAGACTTTTCTCTAGTCTGGTGAGCTATCGAAGCATCAACACTTAGCCTTTTAGCCATCTGGCAGGAATAAAAAATGCACCCAAGGTAACAGACCAATATTGGGTTCACTGCCTCTAAATCCCAACCTGATAACTCTCCAGTCTTCAGTGTTCCTGAAAACCTTCAAGCAGATGATCTTTATAATTCATCCAACTTTTTTGGTCATCCTCAGTAAATGGTTAATCCAAATTAACAGATCTACCATCATATAAGTGGCTACCTCCTTTTTCTTTTTTTATAAAGAAACTGACTCTGAAAAGTTTCCTGAGGTGAGTACACAGACAAACTAAGGTATAACTCCAGCCATGTCCTCTTAACCACTAAACCATACTGAAAACTAGCTTTATTTTATAAGGGTTTTTCTCCCCTAGTTAATTGGGTGTGTATGTATCAAAATCAAAAAGGAATACATGAACATATTCTTATTTTAAAATTGTGCCACTGCAGCCAGTGCTGCTTCTCCCTTGATCCCTTAGTCCAGGTCGGGCCAAGCCCTTTATCAGAGGTCACCAGGTCTGTCTGTGGCTCCACTAGGGGTTATGAAGCTGACTTTTTCCCCATGGGAATGATTCTCCAAAGGTAAAATGGAAGTCACTAGAAACACATGATACAACATTAAAAATGACTTACATATATTTTTCATCAATATACAGCAGTCTCTCCACATGGGATACACAGACAGAACCCCAACGGGTGCCTAAAACTGTTGACAGTACCAAAGCCTATGTATAGTTTTCTCCTGTACACACGTACGTAAGATAAAGTTTAATTTATAAAGTAGGTGCAGAAAAATATTAAAAACAGTAACATAATAAAAATAGAATAATTATAACAATATACTATAATAAAAGTACGTGACTGTGGTCTCTCAGCAAACTCTTCATAACTTCACAGAAACTTCATTCTTACAGTAGAGCCTAGCAACCTCGGCATACAATCTTTGATCTCTCCTTATTAAGTCAAGAATGTTCACCTTTCCACTTAAAAGACACTTTACAGCTTCTCTTTGGCATATCTGAATCGCCAGCATCACTATTCTTGTACTTTGGGGCCATTATTATGTAAAATAAGGTGACCTGAACACAAATGCTATGATACCCCATCAGTCAATCTGATAACCCAGATGGCTACTAAGTGACTAAGGGGCAGGGAGTGTGTACAGAGTGGGTATACTGAACGAAGGGATGATTCACATCCAGGGCAAGATGAAGCAGGATGGCACAAAATTTCATCATGCTACTCAGAATGGTGCACAATTTAAAATTTATGAATTATTTACTTCTGGGATTTTCCATTTAATATTTTTGGACCATGGTTAATTGCAGGTAACTAAAACCACAAAAAGTGAAAATGTGGATAAGACTACTGTACCACAAAGTTAGGTCAAGTTATATAATCATCGGGAACTTTTTCCTGCCATCTAATAGGAAATTAAAGCTTTAATCTGTTTAAGTGATTATTTTCAGGCTCCCAAGGGACCACAAAATGAGAATTTAATAAAAAGCCCAAGAGCAAGATTGCTGGCATCTGTCCACACAGGTGCAGAGTGTCAATATCTGAGTGTCAATTTCCTTGGTGACAATTTAAAATCAGCACTACAAGGGATTTTCCCACCCTGAAACAAAAAGAACAAGCAGGGCATCCCTGCAAGTGGGAAGGGGCAGGGAGTTAGGAGTTTCAAAATGACACTGGTAAAAAAGAGCAGGGGCAGAGCCCTTTCAGCACACACCCGTGCAGCCCCTGTGTGTCACCTGTACAGCAAAGGTGGCCAGCAGGCCCAAGCTGAGTGCTGCTTTCACTTGCATCATTTGGTAGAAAACCTGCACAGGGAGGGATACAGCCGCACAGGGAGCCCTTGGCTTTGGGATGACAGTGTGGGGCGAGCTTCTTGCATTTCACTGTGCACACAGCTCTGGCCAGTGAATTATGAGTGTAAGTAAAGCCAGCCTGAGGACCACAGGCTGTGGAGCAATACACAGCAGAGATGAGGAGCACTGAGGTACTGGACAGGAGAACCGGGGGTTCTGGCCGCTCCTACCTGGGCTGGCTTCTGGCTGCAGGGAGCTCAGAGGAGGTGGGGGTGAAGATTCGGGGGCTTCTGCTGCTGGGTGTTCAGCTACTGGACAGATGATGAACCATCTCTTCCCAGTGTGCAGAACTAAAAGGCAGGACAAAAACAGCTGGTGAGAGCGAGAGTGTTTCTCCTGAGCCAGTGTGACCCTCATAGCTGGCACCACACCTGCCATAGGAGGGGCTCTGGGGAACTCACCTCACACCAGTGAGGGGATATGCAGCCTACTCAGGGGTTCCTCGCTCACAGCTAGAGACTTCACAAGTACCCTCAGCACAGGCTTAGTTCCCAGGATGCCCGAGATACCATTGGTGAAGGGATAACGCTGGCCAAGGGACTAGCAGGCAGCGGCGAGTTCACACCCTGCTCAGTCCACACCTGAGCCAGGCAGGGCTGCCATCCCAGGGCGGTGGGAAGACTCTCACCACATGCTCCAGCAATCCCCCCAGTGTGATGGTCAATCCACATAACAATACACTCAATGAGACACTTAAAATGCCTGCTGGGAGACAGAAGGGACAATGACAGAACTATCTCTTCCAGGGTGAGCCTGGTGAAGGTGTGGCCCGAGAGACAGACATACCATTCTGCTGATACACTGGGGCATTTGCTTGGGACTGGCGACTCTCCTGAGGGAAGTAAACGGTCAGAAATCAGCAGACTGCATGGACCAAGAAGTGGGAGCACAATATGGCCTCAAAACATCCAAGAGCCTCAGAGTTCAGGCGTTGCCAACTGAACTGAAGGCGCCCACCTCCTAGCCACCTCACCCAATGCCACACACCATGCGGGCTCCTAGAGCAGGCTTGCAATGTCCCAGAACTGTTCTCAGAGCGTGGAGGCAGGGGTAAGCAGGCCCTGGCCCCCCAGGAACCCAGCATCCCGACTCACCTCCCCAGTGCCCAGACCACAGGTACTGAGGGGCGGCGGGCTTGCCCCAGGGTCAGAGCCACGGTCCACATCTGTGTCCTCACTGAGCATGTCCTCCGCCTTGTCCATGATGTCCTTCATCTGCTCAATGAATGTCTCCCGCTCAGCCTGCAGGATGAAGTCGTGCTCCACCTGAAACAGCATATACAGCCCTGCTGGTAGGGATATACCACAGGGTTGCCGGGTCTTTACTGACTGATTTGCTTGACTTCTCTGTTCTAAACCCCAGAGGGGTGACATGGCCAGAGGACCTGGTTCCCAGGGCCTGCACAGTTCAGCAAGAAAAGCCATGGCTTGAGAAGCAGGCCTTTCAGGTGACAGGGCAGCACTGCCTGGAGCAGGCAGCCACCTGCAGAGGCTGGAGGATGGGGAAGACTGGCAACAAACATTCCCCTCAGCAAGGCTGGCAGAGAAGTACCCAAGGGACACAGAGGAGACAGCTGCACCAACCCAAGGGACCCAGCAAAATGCCCACTTACCATGTAGGTGGCAATCTCATCAGGCGCGTCTCCATCCAGGTCGAACTTGAATGTCACCATCTTGTGGTTGTGTGTCTCCAGCTGACACTCCACCATCTTGTCACCCGTGTTGCACACCTACGGGACACTGGGGTGGTAAGGCCAGGGAGGAGACTGCTCCCAGCCAGCCATGTGCCCACCGGCCCACCACGCCTGGCTCCTCACATTCAGGATGGTCAGCCGGGGACGGCTGGCCCTCTCCTGGCGCGAGCGCGTGCGCGTGGACCTGCGGTGATGTTTCCGGGAGGGCTTGCCTTCCAACTTCCCCCCACCAAATGTGCCCTCACAGCTGTCACTCAGCTCTCTTCCAGAAGTGACGTCAGAACCTCCATAGCTGCTGGAAAACCAAGAATGTTACTGCGCCCACAGAAACGACCTGCAATGCAAGCTGGCCTCATGGGGGAAGTTTGGCTTTTCAGGAAATAGCCAGAAGCTTTAGAATTTGGGTGTACTCAGCTGGAAAACCCATGCCCAGCAGAGAAACTCCCAAGCACACAGCCCCTTTTCCCTGTCCTGAGTGTGCAGAGGTTATGGGGGACGCATGGGCTTTCTGACCCCGGGACCTTGGCACTCTCAGCCTCCCACCTGTGAAGCAGGCCCAACATTCTTATGGTAAACGTCAGGATTAAGAAACAATCCTCTCTCATTCCTCAGTTTCCTTATCTGTGCAACAATAGGAACATGCCAACCACTTGGAGCTGTTGCAGGATTGGAGGAGAGTTTGCAGAGTGGCAAGCTTGATGCTGATACACCAGGGGTTGGGACACAAGGTAACCTCCTATAACTAGTTCCCTCTCAAACGCTTCCCTCTGACTGGAAGACTACAGGTACCCAGCAACTGAGGCACCAGGAAACCCGGGGTGTGGGCTGAACTCTGCCATGCCCTCCCAGCCTCCCCACCAGCCCCCTCTCCTGCTGACTGTCCACGGCCTCTCCCCTCTGGAACATCCTCGGCACCACAGCCTGGCGCGAGGACCCAGAACACAGCTGGGAACATCTGACAACCAAATTTCAACAAGTGCCAACAAAAACCCCAGAGGAACTTCCTGAAGTTCCACCAGGTCAGGCTTCAAACCGGTAATGTTGTTAGAAGCCCTGACACATGAGGGCAAAGCAAGACGGGATCCCTGTGACATGGCAGCAGGCAGGCTGAGTTGGCATAAGGACCCATGCTGTCTCCTTCCCAGCTGAGCCATTACCTCTCACAGCTCTGCAGGAGGCCAGGCTGCTTGTCCTGCTCCTGAAATAAAAACCACAGGAAAGAGGATGGGTCACATTTGTTCCTTCAGGGCACAGCCACAGGCAGTCTGCTATCTTCCCATCTCTGTGGCCCAGCCCACTAACCACTCCCTTTTCTGATTGTAGCAAGCAGACCATGTAGAGTGGTGGGTATGAAGTTTTTATCTTGTTGGAGCAGGTTCCTAAAAGCTGGAGCCCTTCTCTTTCCAAATGCTAAATCACTTTGACCATCCTTGTGAGAGAGCACATGGACCCAGGAAGGCTTGTCGCAGGCCATTCCATCACCTATGAGGGAAAGCACTCTAACGCCAAGTGTAAAAATCACACCTTCCACCAGGATGTGCATTTGAAGGAAAATGTGACATCTGGGGACAGTGGAGGAAGATAAGAACAACACCTATGGTTGTCCCAGGGAACATGCTTCCACCTTCCCCAGAGCAACCCGACTTCTAGGGCTGAGACCCAAGGTCATCATGAAGCGGGCCGCTGTGATGGTGGAGCCAGGTATTACAGTGACACGCTGGGGACCTAGCCCCGGAGGGGAGGGCACACACCTCAGGGGCTGGCTCCACAGTCAGCTGGACAGCCGGGCAGGGGCTGGAGATTCCAGGCCCACTGGGCAGTGGCAGGTTAGCAGGCGGCAGGAGTGCAGTGGTCTGGATAGGCAAGCTCTGAGCAGTAGCCACCATAGTGGGGGCCAAGGAGCCAGGGAGCTGAGGCAGGAGCTCAGGAACAGCAGGCGGCAACACTTCAGGCACAGGAGGGGAAAGGATGGTGGCTGGAGTGGGCACCGTGGGGACCTGGGCAGTGACATCCACGGCATATGGAGACGGGTGGCCAAGCAGGATCTGGGGCACAGACGACAGGAATGCAAGTCAGGGTGCCATCACCATCCTTGAGGGGCCATGGGCATCCTGGGACAAAGCAAGCGCTTCTCTGTCCACGTAGGTGAGAACACCTGGGGTGCAGGTGTTACAGCATTCCCTTTCAATGAGCCCACACCTCCCACCAGCAAGTCTTGGCCTCAGAGAATGTTTATATACAGATTTATCAGAAACAAATAAGAATAGACATTCTCAGGTCCCCACTCATGCAAAATCTAACCTAAAACCACACTTTACATATGTACCTCTGAGTCAGGCTGAGAAGCCCTAAGTATGATCACTCAGTACCAACTGCAGGTCCTCTAAGGCACCCTGCCCTGCTTCCTGAAGAAGAGGCCTTGGACCCTGGTCTTCCATGGGTGACCTGGGCAGTGGGCCTGACTCTTTACTGTTCTCTCTTTAAAAGCTCTCAGCGCAAATGCTGACAGGGAGAAGGAAGGCCCAAACCCTGACAGGAAGAAGGAAGGCCCAAACCTGAAAGTGCAGGAGACTCTATCCTGCCTCAGTTCAGGGTGGAGGTCAGAAATGAAACAACTTGCTGCTGGGCGTACTGGCATAAGACTGATTGGCCACAGGGAAGCCTGTGGGGAAGCCAGCCCAGCCCATTAATAAAACCCAGACCCTCCACTAGCCAGGCAGAGTGCAGGTCCCTAGGCTTGGCCAGCGAACACTGACTGCACAGTATCTTCTCCAGCCACAGGCTGAGCAAATGACCCAGTGCCAATGATGTGTCCTTGCCAACAATGGCAACAAGGTGTCAGTCCAGGCCCTGACACCACAGACCCCTGAGCCTCCAAGCAGGCCTTGACTTTCTTTAAATAACCCTGACCCATGAGTGGGTGTTACTCTGAGTGACGGGCTGTCCAGGCACTCAGTTAGGGCACTGGACTGCTGTGCCTTCTCCTGCCCGTATTTAAACAAACACCACCCGGTTAGTCAATATAAACTGTCTCTTCCTTCTCCAAGCACAAATCCCTTCTGGAAATCAGACAAGAAGCATGTCCAGGAGCATGTGTGTATGCTCAGGACATGGAGTCTTAGTCCAAAGTGGAGTAAGGGGCCCAAGAGCTGGGGGCACCTGGTACCCTTGAAAGCTTTGGGATGAATCTTCCTGACATAATCTAAAGGGGGTGTCAGCCCTATCTTATAGGGGAGGAACCTGAGCTTTAAAAGGCAAAGGACGATGCCCACAGGCACAGGGCTATTAAGGGTTAGAGCTAGGGTGGGGCCAGGTGAGAGGGTCACACCAGGTGAGAGGCCCCCCATGTCATTCCTCTCTTCATACAAGGTTGGATAACAGCCCTGGTGCTCTAAAACACATAGCGTCTGTGTAGGTGTGTGGAGCCACCAAAGGCGTTGCCCAGCTGACAGAGCAAGTGTCCCTTTCCCCTTCACTTTCAGCACGGAAAGCAGCCAAAGATCCCCCGCCTATGGGACATCATCCTTGTCTGCCATGATTACCTGGGAACCAGCAGCCACATGCCCTGTGCACTGCCTGGCCCAGAACTGAAAGACCCCGCCCCCCCGTCACTCCAAGCCCTGGTGCCCCATTTTCTGGCTGCTGACATGTGAGTTATCCATATACCTCATTTTGACAGGTGACAAGATGGACAGTGTCAGCCTCTCTAGTGCCCGAAGAGGGCACACAGCCACATGAAGGCTGCCAGGCCCCACTTAGGTGAGGGCAGGTGCCATGACATCCGGCATGTCTGAGAATCCTCCCCTACGAGCAACTGCTACTGACTTTTGGGAAGGGTCCACAGGGGAGCCTTTGGCCATCCTGATTCCCGCAGCTTCTGACACGTGCTGGGAGTGAGAGGAGGCAGCGGATACTCCCACACCAGAAAAGAAGCCAAGGCTGCAGGATGGTGCTGCCTGTTCTCCCATTCCCACTCTGCCCACACCCCCTAGCCAAAGTGCTGAGAAGGAGCAAAGGCCTGCAGATCCCTTGCATCTCTGGGTCTCCCAGTGCCTACCTGGGTGGGCCCTACCTGGCAGATAAATTAATTACCTGGCTCCCTACTCCAGCGGCTGGAGCAGTCTGCTCAGGAAGGTGGGCAATACTTGGTTGGTGGGGCTGTGGCAGCATAGGGGGCACAGGCTGTGGAGGGGCGGCTCTCACAGCCTGTGCTGTGTGAAGGGGAGAAGGTGGGACATCGCTGGGCACCATCTGTGGAAAGGCTGCCTGGAACACAGGCTGGGCTGGAAGCTGGGCCACGGCAGGATGAATGGACAGGGCGGCCACTCCCTGTGGGGCCACAGCCAGCAGAGGGATGGCAGTGGCGGTGGCTGCCACGTTTGGCACAATGGTCCGGCACGGCATGGCCAGAGGTGCCCCAGTAGGGTGGGGCAGCTTGACTGCCTGCAGAGGCAGGGCTGGTGACACAGGCAACGGGGTTGCAGTGTTGAGCGGGAGGCTTGGCAAGATGACAGCTGGAGAGAAATACTGAGAAGGGGGAGGCACAGCGGACCCGCTGGCAGCCGGCAGGTCGGAAAGGGCTGCAGGGAGGCTGTCGATTGAAGCCAGCGGAGCAACGGGGGGGATGACAGGAAGTGGAGGCATCTGAAAGAGACATCAGCATGTCAGCCCCACTGGGGCTCAGCCCCACCAGAGACATGTCTGCCCAGGCAAGAACAACCACACCCCCTGCAGGTTCTGCCTCTGAAACACTTCTAGGCAGCTGCTGCCAAGGGAACCCAAATGTAAACCCAATTTAAATGGAACCAAGTATATGACATGTTCGACCAGAGAAGAAAACACAGAAGGCTCAGAAGGGCATGGGGAACAAGAATGACCCCTTCGGCACCACCATGGAGAGGCCCACAGGTGGCTCAGAGGACAGCCGAGATAGCTCAGATACGAGCAGTTACAGTAGCGACCACCAGCTTCAGCATGTTTTCATTCAAAAAGGCTAAGAAAGCGAGAGTCATCAGACAGGCCCCAAACATCTGAAATTACTTTGCTTGATTCATCCTAATCTGTATAAATTCACACTAAGACCAAATTCTTCATCCGGTTCTTTCAAGGAAATGATATCTCCAAGCCCCGCTGCTGGCCGAGCCACATGGCCTGGGGGGAGGGCAGCATCTCCCCACAGTGGACGCTCCCAAACCTTCCATGTCCGGTCTTTTGTCCTAGAGACTCTCGATATCTGACCTCACGGATTCTGCACTTCAAACACCTCAGCAGATTCTCTGACAAGTCTCTCTTTAAAATAAAGCCTTTCTGGTGGCAGGCACATGAAGCATCATATAATAAGTACCTTTGTGCAATTATAAGGCAGCGAAAATATGCCAAATCAACTTCTGTGTATTTGAAAAGCAACAAAATGCCACAACCACCAACAAGCAAGGCAGTGGTTTAACTAGACAGTTAAAGCAACTCTAACACAACATGATGAAGACAAGACCAAATAACAGGTGACAGCTAAGGTAAGAACCTTCTGCGGGGGTGGAGTGATTACAGGGCACTCACACCTAGCTCATAAAGTAGCACTTCTCATCATAGCCCCCAAGACACACTGTGACAGGATCCATGAGGTGAAAGCCATCCCCACGACCATAAATGGCATAACCCTAAGCACCGACCATGTGCTATCAAGTGTCACTAGTCATACAATGCCTGCTGCCCCCAAACCCTGCCCCCAAGAAGCCATGGTTAGCATGGCCTCACATGGCTCCAAGGACAGACGGTGACTGTAGCTATATGCTCACAGCTCTGCTCTGGCTCCTCTGACCTAACTCTGCAGTAAACTTTGCCTGTCCTGGTGCATCTGAGACAGACACAGAGAGAAGATGGGCACCACAACCCTGCTGTGGGAGGACGGCAGAGGAAGGAGGAAGGACATACCTGCTGAGGGACTTGAGCAAGCGGCTGCAGGGACACCGGTGGCATCTGGAGGGGCTTCAGTTGAGCCGAGGCCACCTGGGAAGTCGGAGCCAGGTATGAAGACAGATGGGGGGGCACTGGTTGGAGAGGGCCCACAGGCTGTGACGCCAGGACCTGTGACAGGGGAGCTGTCTGGGCCAGTGGAGGAGGCTGAAGGAAGAGAGGGGGCTTCTCTTAGACCAGCATCGTGCTGAGATGCCCTAGATGCTTAGACATGACAGAGAAAATCAATGAGTACATGCACATGTACACATACATAGACACCCAGCCGGGAGCCCAGGAAGTGCAGGTCTGGGAGAACCAGGTGTGAGTGGGGCCCCTCCAAATGCTGTGGATCATGAACTCCATAGATATAAGAGACCTGCCCCGACTCCCATCTGCACCCCAGGCCCAGGCCAGCCAAGACACAGTCAGGGGAGACTGAAGCACCGATGGTGGCCATTAAAGAGAAGCAGTCTACACTCACCTGGTGGACAGAGGGCCTAGGCTGGCCCGGCCCAGTCGGCACGGGGGCAAAGCTCATGGCCGGCTCCGGGAAATGCTGCTGTGGGAGCGGAGCGCGGGTGGGGGGTGGGACAGAGCCCACTGACAGGCCAGGCTGCAGAGGGTGCCAGGGGCCACACTCAGCAGCTGCCCCAAAGACCCCCACCCAGCCACACACTCAACGTCCCCAGAGAGCTGTCTCTCACTCCCCATGCCCATCGTCCTGGCAGGGACACTTTTCCTAGGAACATGAATTGACAGAAGCAAGGTATGGTGGCCCCTGAGCCAAGAATGGCCACAATTCCTAACCAGGGAACGTTCTGAAACATCGGCTCCACAGGATATTATGCAACTGTGAGAAAAAGTCATTATAAGGGCTTTATGGAACCGTGGGAAAACACTTGTTATAATACTCTATGGGGGAAGATACAAATGCATATGCTTCTTGTCTACAGTACTATGTAACACACATATATGTAAATAAGTTCCCAGAATACAGAAACATGGGAACGAACAGCAGGACAGCACTAGACTGAGGGGAGCTCCACAGAGCTGGGGTCTCCAGTGACTCAGCCATTAGGAGAGAAATGGGACCACAGACGTGAGCCCTCATGCTCGGGCACAAGAGTCCCCAGAGAAGTGGTTCTGCTCCCAACCCCTCCACTCTTCACTGGGACATGTCACCATGACAACCCTCCCCAGGAGTCCTGGGTACACCCTAGGGACTCCCTCCACTCCCTACCCTTCTGTCCAAGCTGTTTTCGTGTAAACAGGCAAGAAAGTGCTCTGGCAGAGACATCTGGCCAGCTGGCCCTTGACCTCCCTGTGCCCAAGCTTCCCAGTCTGGGAACAGAAGCTGGTATAGGAGGGTGCTGTTGGAACAGGTGGACAGCACACTGTGGGCCAGGAATATCCTGATCCTGAGCCTGGGAAGGACAAGAGCTGGATGAATGCTCTGGCTCAGTTCCAGAGAACAGGTGAACCCAAAGCTAAGAAACACCACTCTGAGCAACAAGTAGCCTTTTCCTCAAGAAGCTTTCCTTGCCTTTTAAAACTATTTCACTTCATTTTGTGAAGCAAGTAAAACTATAAATACAAATTGCCAGTTTTGACTCTGATCAGTAGAGGCAAACACTTCAATTGCTTTTCTAAAGGGACTTCCTGAACCTGAGTGGACAACAGGGAAGGGAGAAGAGACAGAGGTGGCCAAAAAAGCTACGAAGCCCGGAAGGATGACCACAGAGAGAGTGCAAGTGAAAGCCCAGGGTAACTGGAGCACCAGGCAGAAGCAACTCCCTTGGGAAGGGGCACTGGTCCTGACCTGCTTCTGGGCCTAGGGGATCTAACTCTCCCTCTGGATCTCACTCCAACACCCACTTCAAGGGCAACTTCTCTATCTGCTTGGGCCTGAGAAGCAAGCAATTGTTTTGCTTTCTATGGCATTAAAAAAAATTGAAAAATAAATGCCGAATGTTGTCCCCTCATCTAGCAATTTCCATTTAACCTATTAGGTTTACAAATTATTCCTCAGGTATAAGCATGAGAACTTTTAATCCTTCTTCCCAAACATTACTCCCATACCTCTAACTTTAAACAGCAGCATAACACCCAGTGGAGAAGTGCTACCGCCTCAGAGATGCTGGACACAGACAAAATCAAAGCTTTCATTACTATGAATGATGCTTTTCCGTCACCTTTGCACCGGTCTGAGTGTAGGACCCTTCCAACTTATCACAGCTTTGCAAGCACTGCGTGTCATTGAGCTCTGTGCTCTGTTTTCTCACCAAGCAGGTCTCTCAGGGTAGATCACAGGCTGCTCCAGCCTGCAGCCCTGCAGTTACCAACAAGGATGGACCTCCTGTGGGCCTGTTTTTGCATGGCCAGAAACTGACCACAGGCCAGTATAGCCTGGCTGGTCCATCACAGACTCCAACGGGGTCTCTGGCTCGAGAGCCAAGCTGACTCACCGCAACAGGCTGCTGGTAGGCTCCCAGTGAGGGCAGGCTATGTGGCAGGATGGGCCCATCGCTCATGCTCACGGGGGGGCTGCACACGCTCTGGGCAGTGGGTGGTGCTGAGTCCACCAACGAGCCCAGCACCACACTCTGCTGGCTGCTCTGTGAGTCCGAGTACACAGTGGAGCCCTGCCCGCTGTCGAATGTGCTGTCAGCTGGGAAGGACAAAGGCACGGCTCAGAGTGGGCACCCCAAACGTCACTCCCACTGCATTCCACACAAAGCTTAAGGAACGCAAACGTGGGCTCACACACAAATGCTTGGCTCGTCCATGTTTTCTTCTGCAAAACAAAGACTTGGTTGTATTTCCAGGTCATATAAGTAATGATTGTGTGTCATTTTACACAATCGACCATAGAGCAATATGGGGGCTAACTGCACCACCCAGAGGTGGTCCTGGCAGCCCACCCACACTGCCTGATGCCTGAGAGGTTGGGGGGGGTGTGCTCGCCATGGGCCACCACAGATCCCAGGGGGACACCTCACACAGTCCTCATAGGCAGGTAGGCAGGAAGGCCACTTCCACCATGGCTGAGACAGGGATCTCACATGGAACTGACCTGTACTTGAAAGTGAGCCCTCATTCAGCTATTTGAAGGCCTAAGGGGTCTTGGGAGGCTGACAGGATGTTCAAGTTAGGAAAAGCTCCAGTCATGTAGAGGTAACAATTATTACCTGTGTTTTACAGGGGGAGAGGGTGTCAGGACCCCGACCACCTTTACTTACCATGAAAAGGAGCCTGAAGCAGGGAAATCCAGGCCCAAATCCAGCCCCTCACATCTTGGGCTGGGTCTAACACAGTTGGAAAATGGGGCTGATGAGGCCCCCACCCCGCAGAGAGCCTGTGAGAGGGAACTCAGAGGCTCCATTAGCCCACCCACAATCAGCCCAGCATGGCCAGTGAGACCAGCCACAGTGGACAGAGCCTCCCACAAACATGGTGGGGAGAGATGGAGGGATAGGCAAGACAAGACCCGCACAGCCCGTAGACTCATCTGACCGAATGCACCTAGAAGACAGGTTACCTGTGTGGCCATGTCAGTAAAGTATGAAAAACAAAAACCTATTTGAAATGGCACTCATGGTTTACTGCTTCCAGATTCCAAAAGCTACACAAACATTAAAATTTGTCAACTATGAACACCAAGCTACTTCTATAGGGAGCCACCTTTCAGATTGTCAGCACAGTGTCCATTTGCAATTTAAACAAATAAAGTAAAAGGGGAATCTTGTCAGCTTTGCAGCAAAATAATTTTTCCCCAGAGCTGATTAGAACTCTTTTTAACCTAGGAAGATGTAAGAATGCTGAGGTTTGATTGTGCAAACCAATTGGATAAGTGTCTCTTATTTTTAATGATGTGTCTGGTAGTAATTTCCACTTACACAGAGAAAGGAGAGAAGCTGAGACAGAGAGAGAGGACAAAAAGACAAAGACACAGAAATAGAATGTGCATGCAGGAGAGAGACAGAGATAAAGACAAAGAAAGACAGAGACAGAGAGACAGAAACAGAGACAGAGTAAAGACAAGAATGGGTACAGACCTGACAAGTTTCACATAAAGCAACTCCGTGTATGTAACATTTAAAATTTTTAAGTCAACATGTTTAACGTATATATAATTAAAAATTAATTTTAAAAATTGCTTTTAAACCTATTGACAAATTAAATTCTTGTAATCATCAGGTGCTAGACCAAGCCCTCTCGCTGACCTTCATTTGGACCATGGTGGGCAGTTAACAGAACAGGGAGACTCAAAATATGTTTGCTGTACCTTCTAACATATGAAAGTGCATGTGTTTGCCCATCTTGTTACCTAAGACCTGGTCCTTTCTCTGATGACATGTGTGCTGACTGGCATCCCCATCAGTTCACCTTTATGAAGCACAGCATGGTCCAGCCACCCACAGGCACTGTGGCCAGAGAGACAACTGCGCACAGGCTTTCTGTTCGAAGCCAGAGCAAGGTACTGAGGGAGTGCAAGGTGCTGTGGGTTGTGGAATAGAGGGAGACAAAGGGTATGTGTGCGTGTGTGTGTACATGTGTACACTGGTGCATGTGAATAATTACATGTGTAGGCTATCTCCAGAAGTTAACGTTAAAAGACAGGTAACATCAGTAGCCTCCAAGGAGAAATATTAACTGATTTTTGCTGTACACCTCTTGGGCTTTTTGAATTTCATATGATGTGAATATATTACCTACTTAAAAAAAATTACAATAAAGGGGTAAAAACGTTTTAACCATAAAACATTTATTTCTCATGGCAGAAAAGTATGGCTGCTGCATAAAGCATACAGAATCCTTCTGAGCTGCACAGGAAGGGGTCTGTTTGCAGACAGAATGACCACCTTGAACTGAACTCATCTGTTAAACCTGTGCTGTCTATACAGTAAGTCGAACCTGCATCATGACATCTGACCACAGCAGAGCATATTCTAGGTCCCAGACTGTGTCTCTTCAAAGAGTGACAAAGGAAAATTTCTTAATTCCTGTATCTGAGAAATTGTTCAACCAACGATTACCTTTGTAAAGTGTGTAGTAACTTTTTCTATAAAAAGTTTATGTTCTTTACTCTTTTTTGTTTTATCAGAAAATGGAATGCAATGATGCTGTGATTTTATTCTCCAAAGCAAACTTGAGCAGGTTGGAAGGAAGTAAACAGTAAGCAAACTGTCTCAAAGTGATGGCCAGCCACTGGTTTTAATTTAAATAGCCTACTTTGAAGAACATTCAGCTATTTTAATGATAAATGAAGGATATTCCTATTAAATAAATCAAACATACTATTTCAGTCTTTCCACATGAACAACCTGAAACAGTGGCCTGGGCAGGTTGCTTGGATCTGCAATTCTCTGTGCTTATTCATGGACAGAATAGGCTACAGCCTCCATCCATAGCTCGCAGCTGCATTTTTGGGGACACTGAGGGCAAAGGCAAGACACATTTCTGCCTCGACTTATGGAAGATACTGGGTTCTCTCTTCCAGTGGTCTGAGATAAAGCCAGATGCAAAGCGATCCCACCATCCATTAATAACACTCCCTGGGAAACAGACAAGTGGTCTCAAAGGTTTGGCACTAGAAGAGAGATTATCTTGAGATGGACACTCCTGGAGACAAAGGTCACAGCAGCATGACTGCTCAAGCTATGGCCACTGGCAGCCTCAGGACACTGGTGTTCTGGAACAGATGCCCCTACTGGGCCCAGCTGCTATGCTAAGCCCAGGATAAGGAAGAGCCTTCACGTGCCCCATGTGGCCAGGACTAGTATCCTCCAGGCAGAGTAAGTAGCCAATTAAGCCACTCTGTCCCTGCTGGCTCGGGGCACAGGAGGTTCTGGGTCTGCCTCCACATCTGTCCCTACCTGTCCTGAGAAGTTGGACTTCAGCAAGCCATAAATCCCTCTGGTCAGATCTCTGTGCAACATCAAGGATGCTCCCAACAACTGCCCTGGAGGAACATTCACCCACACCAATCATCCACACCTGCAAGATGAACTGGGGTAGGCACGTGGAGAGAGCAATACTCACAGGCCAGAGAGGTGGCGCTGGCCGGCAGCACAGTAGGGAGAAGGTGCTGGTCAGCCTCGGGCTCCTCCGGCTCTAGCAGTCCAACCTGTGCATGGTAGGTCACCTGGACCTGCAGAGGGGTGTGCAGGCCCTTGGCCTTGTCAGGGCTGCCTGGGTCTCGCTGTTCCTGGGGCTGCAATGCTGGCCAGATCCTCTCCCGCCGCCACTGGATCAATGCCACACGGTCACGAATGGACTTGGCCACGATCTTCACATCACTCTCATGGAAGAACCCTGACTCGATCTGCAAAGGGAGTCAGTCACCTGTCGTTACTGGGACCATCCCTACTTGCACATCCCATTGCCGGGTCCACCTTGGTGCCTGCACTCCCACCTCCCGCTCTTGTGGTCTCTGCTAAAAGTTACCTCTTCTGGGCCCCTCGCCCCTGTCTTTCAGGGACATTCTCATCCTTCCATAAAGATGGATGTGTCCTTCGAGCCATTGACTAAATCCACGAGAGTGACCATCTGAACATGCACTGGCCCAGCTCCTGAGACACTGACAACACAGCAGGTGCTCTTAACATGCGCTGAGTAACAAAAAGGAAAGGGGGGACCCTAATCTGCCTCCCACCCCAGAGCAGCCCGACAGCTGTGTCCTGGAAGCATCCTAGAGCCCCACACTAAGGCTGCCTGAGGGTGGGAAAGCAGTCCTGGCTAAATCTGTGTGCTCAGGGACAGGGACAGGGATCCACAGCCCACACTGTCCTCAGCATTCTCTGAGAAGTCATG